GAGCGGCTGCTCCCCTTTGTAAACTGGGAAGCCAGGCGATAAGGGCGGCAGAATTTATACCGTGAGGGGGAGTTGCGCGAACTTCCTCTGTCAGACGTCGCCTCTTTCCATATCTCTAGAAACTTCCTCGGTCTCTGCTAAAACCTGTAACGATCCTTAGTAGCGTTATTCGATCGCAGTAAAATTTCAGTATTCAGAAGAAAAAAGTGGCGCCACAGGAAAGGCAAAATTCTGGTCTTAACCTTTAGAGCCCTCTGGCTTTAAATTTTAGGTTCGTCACAGAGGTGCCGTCTTCCATTCAGGAGGGGTAGCTGAGACCAGACTGTAGATTTTGTCTTCTATACTCTTTCCCATCTTTCCTGCTAGCATGCTTTGGTGAGAATTTCTGTTTTTTGCACATAGCACAATAATCAGGTCAGAGTTCTCGTCTGCACGGTTGCCCAGAAGGTACTTGTGGGTCTCCCACAGCTCAGGTCCCTTGAGCACGGTGGAAGGCAGTGATCGTCTGCCTAATCCATGCAGTACCTACTTTAGATGATGCAGCAGCAGGTGTTTGGGGGGCGTTTTTGGTTTTTGCCTTTTTTTTTTACTTCAATTTTTTTTAAGGAGGGGAGTAAAAAATACTAGCAAAATAACTGAGGTGGTGAAAACCACAGAGAAGGTGAGATGGTGAATTGATAAGCAAAATGCTGTAGAGGTCATGAACTCCGGCCTTCATGGATTTTATTTTGCTAGTAATTTTTGGAGTGCCGAATGCACCCATTGAAACTAGGGGTCTAGCTCTGAACAAACCTACACCAATTTTGTACTGGTATCGTTGCACTGATTCCAGGAGTGTGCTTATTTGTTCATTAGCTTTGTATCAGAATACTATCCACAAGTTTTTACCTGATACTGCTGAATGTGCTTGCACTATTTCTAGTGTAAGTATTTAAGTTTAGAAATGAACTATTTGAAATCCACAATATGAACTGGAAAATCCTGTTTCTCCATATGAAAGGGAAATGTAAACCTTACCGAAAATAGGTTTACCATATTGAGTCTATGAAAAAAGTGAAACTTGAGTCTCCTCAAAATGCAATAATTGTAAAAGAATAATACTGTATAAATAATGAAAACGAGATATTCACTACTGTGGGGTACCTTGGTATGACACTACAAGAATATGGTATTGGGAAAAGCTTAGTAAACTTGCATTAAATGTAGTTACTTTTTCAAAAGCCTTTCAGACTGGCTGCCTTAAAATAAGTAGTTTGGATCCACTTTGTATATATATATAAGCATTACGTAGATTAGGTTGATTACCAGATTCATAGGGTTCTTTTCATTGGTCTCTGTTTGCTTATCTCTCTGAGTGGTTTCTTGAAGTGTCGACTTCCTTGGAAGAGATACCAATAGATCAGTTTTGTCATGCTAATAGCTGCTGTAGCATGATGCAGTGCAGAGTAAAGGGATGGTGTGCTGTGTGAGGTCAGGCATCCTTTTTCACATTGAGCATTCTCACCTTAGGAAACAGCAGGTAGTTTTTTTTTTTCCTGGATTTTCTTCATTTGTGGATTTTTTTCTTTGTTTTATGAATCCAGTGAGGTGCTTTCAGCTCGTTAAGAGTCTGACAGAAACTGCCGACATTGCCTTGGCTTTGGATGGAGAGTACTGGCATTTCAGTTGTATAGTTGCAGGGATGGTGGGAGGCAAAGTAGGAGTTTGACAGTGGTGGGTTGTAAGAAGTTAAAATTTGTGAAGGAGACTCCCACAGGTCTGCTTCCTTCAATGAAAAATGTGACTGGTGTAGAAATATGACACTTGTATAGCTTTTCTTTAAAGAAGGGATGCCAATCCATACTTTTGAGTAAGTGGCCTTGAATAAATGTTTATCTTGTATGAACAGTATGTTTTCCAGGTCTCCACGATCCAAGCAAATAGGGTCCTCCATTTTTGCCTAGCTGAAGGAATGCACAACTTTGGCTCGGAGCTAGATGGTTTCAATTGGTATTGGAGAAAATTCAAATCTGAACTTCAGGAATCACGTTATGGGCAAGGCTTCGCTTCCTTGCCTATGAGATATGTCATTATTATTCTCTATTTTTGTGTGAATTTCAAATGAACATCAGAGAGGTTGGCCAATCTTGCTTTTTGGATAGTGTAGATGTAGTTGATACTGGTCCTGCTAGGCGTGCTGGGGAACCTCTTGAGAAGATCAGATCCTTGCAGCTGTATGTGAGATGTGCTGGCAGTCCATGTCAGAGGATTGCAGGGAGACAAAATTAATGCAATATAATAATTTTTAAGTACTACTCTGTAAGCTGATAAAACTGACCTGCTATGTGGTGAGATTCTGTTAACCTTTGTTAAACTGCCTGGTTTAACTCAAGTAATCTGAGATTACACGTTAGTATAGATTTTGTATGAAAACAACCACCTTGTTTTCTTGTGTAAATGCTTTGCCTAGAACACTGAAGTGGGGTGTTATGATAGAAAGGGGATGAAGCAAATACTTGAATCAAGCAAAAAACCCCTGCCTAATACTTTACCAGTTTGAGTTTCAAGAACATTTAAAATCTAATTGAGCAAAGGTAAGTGACATGGCTAACTATAGATGCAGAGATCTGTAAGCTGGTGCCAACTGTTGCCAATTAAGTTCTCGTATCACAGCACAGCCATCTTGAGGTTCTGCATTTGCAGCACTGCTAATCTGCAGACAGAATAATCAATCCATTTCCAGATAACTGAAATAAACCTCCAAATCCTTTATCTACTGAAGACGATAATGCATGCATCTAAGTAAATGGACTTAATGTCCAATAGGCAGACTTAGTTTCCATGATCTTAATGCTGTTTTCTTAATGTTTTTCTCAGGTTGTTAAGAGAGAAGGCAGTGGGACAGAATCTCCAATGATAGGTGATAAAGTGACTGTCCATTACACAGGATGGCTTCTTGATGGCACAAAATTTGACTCCAGTCTGGACAGGAGAGACAAGTTTTCATTTGACTTGGGGAAAGGTAATACCTTGTGTTTGGTATTGATCACTTTTGCTAATAATTGAGGTAGGATTTCATGGCATGTGAGCCTCCTTTGCCTTTTGAAGTTACTACTTAAACTTGTTTTCAGATTTTGTTCTCTCAGAGTGGCCCAGTCAGAATGTCTTTGAGATTTTTCTGAATGAGAAAACTGTGTAGCCCCTTGAGGCCTGATGAAGAATTCATAGGCCTCAGACAAAGCACCCCAGGGGAGCAAATCTGCCCTGAAGTGTAGTGACAAAGGGTAGTTAAATATGCCAGAATATGCATTTTGTTGGTTGGTTTTTTGTTGATTTTTTTGGTTTGGCAGACTCCAGTCCGAGGGTATTTAATTGTGACCAGATACTGGGACAGGGTGCACAGAAGCAGCTGTCAGCTGCTGCATGATGAAATATACTCCCTTTTCCACAAAATTCCCAAATTAACCCAAATATGAGTCTTTGAGCAGTGCAACTCTTCATTATCAAAATCCTTTATTTTTTGAATGCAAAAATCCAAACATCCTTGTTCCAGCAAATCTTATTCCTCAATATTACATTTTCCCTGCTGCTTTTAAATAAATGGATACTATCTCTTTTCTTAAAAAAGAGATTAATTCATTGTACTGAAATTTGAGATATTAAGCGTACCTATTAATACAGGATTAAGAGCCTGCTTGATCGAGTTGAAAGGAGCAGCAAGTAGGAGAGCTTGAAAAAGAGCATTTTGTTACAACTTCTGTTCCTTTTTGGCTTCAGAAGGAATACTATTTCTATTTTCCTCCCCCTTTTTGTTACAAATGTTTGTAACTGTTAGTTACCACTGGTGCTGCTCTTTGCCAGCTGATAAAGTACAGAGAGAAAAGGCTGTTGGTTTGGATTGTTTTCAAAACACGAGCAGGCAATCTCTCGCCCTGAGCCCTGAGACCTTCCTCTCGGAAGAGTTTATTGTTACTTCCTCACACTTGAGACTGTGCCAAGCACTTCAGCCTGTGTCTGTGTTCAGATGACTTGTATTCTCTCTAAGGAAGGGAGCACAGGGTCCCTGCCCCTGGCAGGTTGGAACTAGATGACCTTTCAGGTCCCTTCCAATCCAACCCGTTTTATGATTCTATGAAAAGAGTTGCTACACCTAGAATGAAGAAAGATAGCGAAATTTGGGTCCCAGGAAACTTTAGAATTTGATTAGGCTTAAAACTGATGTAGGTAGATGAGAGTGAGCACAAGTCCTTCAGTGTTTCTGCTGTCTTAGCTTCTGTACACTAAAAGTGATGATCCTGAGTTTCAGCTGATCGTGCTTTTCGTGTATGCCTTGCAATCATGTGATTGACATTTGACTTGCATAGGTGAGGTGATCAAAGCATGGGACATTGCTGTGGCGACTATGAAGATTGGTGAAATCTGTCGGATTACATGTAAACCAGAATATGCCTATGGCTCAGCTGGGAGCCCCCCAAAGATACCTCCCAATGCTACACTGATTTTTGAGGTAAGTGAGAGACGGTCATTAAAACTGTACACTTGAAAAACAAGCAAAAGTCATATTTTACAGTAGAAAATGTGTGATGCAATATGCTTTCAAAACTGGGTTTTGAAAGGATTGTTAGGTTTTCTAAAGAAAACAATATGGTCGATTTTGGGTAGTGTGGGCAAAGTTTTAGTCTGGCTGCTACTGATCTGCAAGAGCTTCGGTTCCTTTTTTTTGGGCATTTTTAAAATACTTGAATGGTTTCCAGTGTTCAGTTTTAATATTAGTTATGGAATGATTTGCAGTAGGAAAGAGAAGGCTGGGAGGGCGGATGGACTCTGAAGTAGTTGAGAAAATGAAATGGAGCCAGTTATTTCTCTTAACCTCACCAGGAGAGGAGAGAATTTGTCTCCTGCTGATCTTTAAGTCACTCCCCCAAACCTCTTCCCAAAAGAGTATGGAAATAGCAGCTGTCTCTTGTGTGTTATTTCAACAGCAAGAATGGTTGCTCAGAATGCTGAGACTTGTGTTTGATTTTTTTCCATGGAGAATGATACTAAAGCTGTTTCTGAAGCATACTCTGACAGTCTCAACAGAGAGGATATATTTTTCCTACTGTTGAAACAGTTCAATTTTCCAACAATTACTTTAAAATAAATTCTACCTGAAAGAAGGCAGATTCTTTTTAAGTGGGATTTTTAAAATTACTTTGCTCTAAAATACTTAATCCATTGAATGGTCTCCTATGTTGGGGGCATACAGAAAGTTTTAAAACTCGATGATTGCTCAAAGATTGAATGTTTTATCTAATATCTGAGAAAGGTAAAAATAGCTCATGGAGTATTTAGATTTTACTGGAAACAATAAGCATCTGTTAAAAAGGGTAAATTATGCATAGAATCATAGAATTATTTAGGCTGGAAAAGACCTTTAAGACCATCTAGTCCAGTTTAAACCTAAAACTGCCAAGTCCATCACTAAACCATGTCCCCAAGTACCACATCTACACCTAAATACCTTCAAGGAAGGTGTCTCAACCACTTCCCTGGGCAGCCTGTTCTAATGCAAATATCCAATCCAAACCTCCCCATTTCCTCTTGTCCTGGGACTTGTTACCTGGGAGAAGAGTCTGACCCCACCTCACTACAACCTCCTTTCAGGTAGTTGTAGAGTGCAAGAAGGTACCCCTTGAGCCTCCTTTTCTCCAGGCTGAACCCACCTGCAGTTCCTCAGCTGTTCCTTATAGAACTTACTCTCTAGACCCTTCACCAGCTTTGTTGCCCTTCTCTGGACATGCTCCAGCACCTCAATGTCTTTCTTGCAGTGGGGGGCCCAAAACTGGACACAGGATTTGAAGTGTGGCCTCAGCAATGCCCAGTACAGGTGGACGATCACTGCCCTGGTCCTGCTGGCCACACTATTTCTGATACAAACCAGGATGCCATTGACCTTCACATAGTTGGATATTGTATTTGTATTGCATTTGGATAGTGTATTGGCATTTCTTTTTTTTTTTTCCCCATGGACTAGTGAGTAATAGGATTAAAGACGTATTTTGTGCAGAAGGATTAAAAAAATAGTACTAGTATAGGTACTGTCACTAAGGGATGACAACTTACTCATTTTAAGTACATCAAAATTAATGCCATTATTTCTGTAGTTGGCTGTTGAAAAATAGTATCTTGTAAAGCTATTGGTAAACAGCATTTTCTTATGTATAAATCTTAAGTTTCTCATGGCTTACTTATTGGATCAAACTACAGGTTGGAGTGCTGTGTGCTTCACAGGTATGCTAGTGATACTAAGTGTAATCAGGACAGGATACAAGGGGGAGAGAAAAAACACTGAGCTGATGATTCAAATCCAGGCTAGAAGCTCAAGACCTTGTACCTTTGCAGCACAATGGAGCATTCTTAAAGGCTTAGGATGAGTACACAGGATGTGCATGGACAGTACAAAGCAGAGAAGCTTTCACTGCCCTGCAGTGAGATAATACCCAGTGTTTTGATAAATAAAAGTATGAATCAAAGCAAGACAGGATTTGTTCCATGAGACTATTACTGAGTCTATCTGAAGTAGTCATCCAGGTTATTCACTTCCCACTGGGTTTTTCTTAATGATGCCACTCTGACCTCTCCATCATTTTCTGGGTAAGCAGTGTTTCATTCATGATCCTTAATATCCCCTAATGCCTTCCTGAGCAGTAATGTTAAAGGAATAAAGGGAGAAAGAAAGAAAAGCACTGAAGCTGCCTATGATGGTTTTGTGCTTCCCTAATAAAACAGCCTGGAGCTGACTGGCTGCAACAAATATATAGTGCTGGATGTGTCCTGATTGGGGGTGTGGCTTGGAACTTAGATCTAGAAAGTTTTTCTAAGTGTTATTAGGTAAAAGTAATTTCTGACTAGTATGACTCTCAGGCACTTAGTCTGTTAAGTTTCCACTTTTTTAGTTTTGCTTCTATGTTTCGTTTTTATTATTTGAAACAATGTCAGCGTGGGTCCTTTGTAATTGCTTAACACCATACCAGAATTTTGTACAAGTTGCCTTAAAAAGGACCCTCTAAAACTTAAATTAAAAGATTTTGTATCTGTGTCATCTCATCAGCATTTCTTTATGATCTGAAATAATGGACATCCTATGATTTGGGTTTTTTTGATCTGGTGGTGTTTTGTTGTTTTGGTTTTTTTTTTTTATTTCCTCATGATTGTTTTTGCAGAACAGTATAAATAGGTAGATTATTCCATAGAGTACTGGTGTTCAGTTTTGGGAGAAACAAAAGGGACAGATATACCTGTATGGCCATCAGTAGAATGTTCAGGAATGACTTAACATTTTTCAGACAGACTGAAGAGAAAGACCAGAATATTATTCATTACTAGGAGTCCATCAAATAAAAAGTGGAAGTACTCTTTGTGTTGGTGGATATTCAATTCCTTTTACATTCCAGGTATCTTAAGTCCAGTGTGAGGAACCTTCACAGCATTAGCCCTGAACTTTTTTTTTTTTTTTAAATGAGGTAGTCTAAACAATTCTGATTATAATGGCTTGCTCTTTTGTGCTGTTTTTACTATTGTTTTACTCAAACATGGAATACAAAATATCTTTTAATTCATTTCATAGCAACAACAAATATGTTTTGTAACTAGACTATTTTTCCATCTCATCATGGTACTCCCACATGAAACTATGATTTACATTAGAGACTTGGGAGGGCATGTGAAGATTCAGACTGGATAGCTATTTCCTACATTAGCACTAGCTCTTAAAAATTCCAAACAATTTATTGCAGCAGGGAGTTTAGATTAAAGGTGGGTCAGATCATGGGTTTTTTTGTTTTATCCTTCTTCGGGAAGTTTTTTTTTTTTTTTTCTGAAATGATCCCACAATACAAAATGGTACAACAAGACTAGAAGGGAAAATGTAACAAGTAAAAAGATAACTCTGTCTCTGTTCAGGCATGCAAGGGAGAATGCACAGAAGTTTTGAAACTACTGTCCTGTGGCACAAGAGTAGGAGGATGAAGAAATGGGTAGGGAATGGCTGAAGTTGGAAAATATATTCTTGAATTTGTTTTAATGTTTCAGAACAAGCATTTGGAATCAGTTAAAGCTCCATTCCAAGCACTTTAAAGTTGATCTCAATTTGACCATTGATGAAATTAAGGGTATAATCGTGAATTAAGGATAAGAATTACATCTTCGTTTTATTGTCCTGCTCCTTTTGTCCTTGCCTTACTTAAAAACCTTGGCCCATGGATGCAGTGACACTACTGGTGGTTCTACTTGACTGTAGAGTAAGAAGGTGGAACGGCTGATCAGTGTGGTAGCACTGCAGAGTGGCAAGTGAGAGTAAATTCTTCCTGCCTTAATGTGTCCAAAAGGTATTTTCCCTCATATTAGAAAAAAATCAAACCTCAACCAAAACCAACTACCCATAGTTTTGCTTGCAGACAATGGCAAAAATAGTATTAAAGAAGCCAATAGAATCTTTTTTTTTTTTTAAGTAAACTCTAAGCATTGTGGCTCATATAAGCTTTATTCAGAAGCCAGGTTTACAGTCCTTTAATTTAAAGGATCTAATTTTTAGTATTGGGAGACCAAGATTGGTGGAGAAAAAATAGCTGAAAAGGCCTGAATATAACCTGAAAGTTGAAATTCTTCAATAGGTTTCCGTCTGGGATCTACTGGTTTCCATCCAATATCATCTTCAGAGCCTTGGCTATCCCATATCTTACAGGACATTAACTAAGACAGTGACTTCCTGCATAGCTGTAGTTTCAAAGATCACTGTAGAACAAATTCTGTGGGTTACTGTATTGGTGTAGTGAGAATAAATGCAAGATGTTTCTTCCCTCCACAGATAGAACTTTTTGAGTTCAAGGGGGAGGACCTCACTGATGAAGAAGATGGTGGCATCATCCGGAGGATCCGTAAAAAAGGGGAGGGCTACTCCAAGCCCAATGAGGATGCACTCGTAGAGAGTAAGTTTGTTGTTACACGAATAGTAAATGGGTTTACCATGCGGGATGGCAAAACCTGTTTCACAATCTACAACTCCTTGCCCTGAGAGAGAGGAATACGTGGCTTTTCTTTCCTTTATCAAGTAACTTAACAACCTAGAGTAAGATTTCATTCTCTTATTTCTAGCAAGGTTTACATTTTCCAGCAGCAGCTGTGTTCTTTCAGCGATACTGAATCTGTTAAAGTGCTTATCTGATCACAAAAGATTGATGAGTCTACTAAAGTATTTCCATTTGCTGAGGAACAAGAGGGGGATCGTTCTGGGACCTGTTGTTGGAATGGAAAAAACAAACAGATGAACAAAAAAAAGGGGTTATTAAATTTAACAGCAGAAGTTCTGTTTCCTGCCAGTAGCCACCATGCATAGGTAGCTGTTAAAAACCACTGTTTAGAAGGAGGCTTTGGCACTTCGTATGTGCTACCTGCCTATGTAGAACTCCCAGTGTACTCCTGTGCTACCTCCCCATACCATATATATATATATGTATATATTCTGATTTCAATCTGTGTTGTTCTATTTTTTTGTTACTAGTCCAGTTTGAAGGCCGATACGGAGATCGTGTTTTTGACAAGCGGGAATTGCGGTTTGAGATTGGGGAAGGTGAAAACTTTGATCTTCCTCATGGTCTGGAGAAAGCAATTCAAAAAATGGAGAAATCGGAGGAATCCGTGTTCTATCTTAAACCCAGGTACACTTTCCCTGATCTTTTGATACTTGAAGGGCCTATACTAAGAATCTGGCAAGAATTAAGTGCTTTGTTATAACACTTTTCATTTTTTTCGGTGCTGTGGTAAAAACAGGTGTATGAGAAGTATCAAGCTAAGATTGCTTTGCCACTTCATAATGAAGTAGTAGCACTACAAAAGAAATAAGATTTACTTAAATCTCTATAGTGTTGATCTCTGTGAATATTTAAAAAAATATTGTCGCTCTATAACTTAGATTTTTGCGGTCCCTCTTTGTTAGTACTTACTGTATAACAGTGCATATATAGTCCTAGACATAAGCAGAATTTTCTCATTACAGTGAGAACACATCTGAAATGGATTTGCACAGATTGTTTTCATCAAATGTTAATTTTAATTTCAGTATTTATTAAGTTTTTTAAACTTGAACTGGACCTGATAAGAGCAGAAAAGCAAAGCAATCTGATCTTGAGGGTTTTCCTGCTAATATGCAGCTTCTTACTGGAGTTGCTTCACAGAACCTTTCTGTAGGCATTTCCTGTTTATCAGTTCATTAGCAGTATGTTAAGTGTACATCTGTTCACTTAATCTTAGTATTCATTGTCTTTGCTTTTCTAAGAATAGTACTAAAATACAGGTGCTCTGAAGGAAACGCTCAGTTTCAGACCATGAATATAAAGCAAAATGCATATAACTTGGAAGCTGGTTGTTTTGTTTGGGTTTTTTCTTTATTGGAGAGATAACTTGCTTTTCCTTCACCTAAGCTAAAAAAAAAACATAATAGGAACTGGTAAGAGCTAAATGAAATCAATGCTAGGTTTCTCTTGCTTTCTTCTACCTTGTGCTTGCTAATTTTAGAATCGTACCAAGAATTCTTGAAGTCTTTGTCTTGTAATAATGATGTATGGGCATCCCAGATTTGCATGGGGTTTTTGTCTTCATCTTCCTATGTAGAAAATACAGCTGGATGGACAGTTCTGAACTGTTGTCTTTGTTTGTTTCTCCCTCCCCACCCCACACCCATCTTATAGCTATGGCTTTGGAAGCACTGGGAATGAGAAATTTCAGATCCCTCCAGATGCAGAGCTGCAGTATGAAGTGAAACTCAAAAGCTTTGAAAAGGTAGGAACAAGAGATGAAACCCCAAAGAGATCCTGGATGTGGAGGGAGGAGGACGAGTGCAGCTTAAACAAGGACAGTGGAATCCTTGAATGGTGATCTGAAATAAGGAGGCTACTGTTGCCAGAGACGATGACACACTGGAGCTCTTGGCTGAAATGGCCCTTATTCTTATTGGTTCACTGTCCATTGCCGTCTCTCGCGCTCTAGGCTGGTTTCCAGCAGCAGTGCAAAGCTCTGCAAAGCCAAACCTATCTCTATCTCACTATGGGAAGCAACATAGCCACTTGATTTCCTTAGAAGTTGTATTGTTGTACTGAAGTTGACTTGAACTATTCCTTTTTGGGTAGGCTAAGGAGTCTTGGGAAATGAACACGGATGAGAAGTTGGAACAAAGCTCCATTGTGAAGGAGAGAGGCACTCAGTACTTCAAGGTAAGTTACAGTCCCCAAGTAATAATAGCATTTCTTAGTCCATGTCGTGAATTGATAATGATGATTACAGCTTCTGTCATTTCTGAGTGGTGTTCATGGTATTCTGTGAGATTTTACAGTGAGAACTGGAGGGGAAGTTGTCTGAAAAAAAGAAACTCAGTTGGATTATCCAAAGAACTGACTCTGCAGGGAGTTCTCTGTTAAAGCTGTTTGCTGTACCTACAGATAACTTTGGGGCATACATGGAATCGTAGCAAGGTTACAGTATTTAAGTTTCTGCTGTGGGATAGTGCTGTGAATGAAAAAATTAATTTGGGTAGATATTTGTGAAGAAGCTGTTTCAAGCAACTTAACCAGCTAAAGAAAGAGTTTCCCATTATTTTCATAACACATTATAAAAATGCCTCATTTTCCTTTTTCTTTGTATCAAAAGTCGAATGTAAGGTGGGAGTTCCGAGTGAAGTATCATTGCTGGCATATATCCCTAGTTTTAGTGGGGGACCAGTAGGTATTCCTAAGGATATTCTGATCCTATGCAGGAGTGGGTTTCAGAGGTAGTATGTTTTTGATGATAGAAGTTATTTTCTGATCAAATATTTTTTTTCAGATCTATTGCTCGAGGTAAGCAGAAGGGGCAAGAGGGATATAAAAGTTACTGTGATGAGCTGTGTGATAATTGAACTGCCTTGTTTACAGGAGGGAAAATACAAGCGGGCAGCATTACAGTATAAGAAAATTGTGTCGTGGCTGGAGCATGAAGCAGGACTCTCCGATGAGGAGGAATCAAAAGCCAAAAGCTTGAGGCTTGCTGCCCACCTTAATCTAGCTATGTGCCATCTCAAGCTAAAGGAATACTCACAGGCTTTGGAAAACTGCAACAAGGTAGTAGCGATTTATTTATTCTTAAACTGTCAGACTGCTTGTGCAGTTTATCTTCTGCTTTAGAAATCTGACAAACAACAGGCCATGTGGTGTTGGGCTTTTCTTATCAGCTTGCATTTGGATGGTACTGAATACACTAAAAATACCTAACAGATTTTCAATTACTTTTTTAATTACTGTCCACATCTTTTTCTAACTCACTGCTACATGGAGAATATTCAAGTGTTTAGAAATTAGAAACACTTGGTGAAGGTAGTCATGTTGGCATACATCTTTCAAAGAGCTGAATTAGAGCCAGGACTAAGTCTTAGACTTGCTGGTTCTCTGTCAAATAACCTACTATATTCATTCCTCTTTGTACTAACTTCTACTGTATTCTACTTACATTACTAGTAAGCCCTGACAAGACTCTTGAGTCTGTATCAGAAGATACAGTTCCTAGCAGTCTCTGGTGTTCTGAGGTTTTATAAAAGAAAAATCACTCTTGTGTCTGGTTTGGTTTTGTTTTTTTAATGCAGGCACTGGAATTGGATAGCAACAATGAAAAAGGCCTCTTCCGGCGTGGAGAAGCGCATTTGGCTGTCAATGACTTTGAGTTGGCCCGAGGAGATTTCCAGAAAGTGATACAACTTTATCCAAGTAACAAAGCTGCCAAAGTGCAACTGGTAACTTGTCAGCAAAAAATACGGGAGCAGCATGAGAAGGAGAAAAAGATGTACGCCAACATGTTCCAAAGGCTTGCAGACAAAGACTTAAAGGTAAGTAACACCGCTCCAGAAGACTACAAGAGGTGGTGTCGTGTTAGACAAGGAATAGTAGTTTAGGTATTCAGCTTACTTCTTAGAACAGATAATTATAGCAGGAGAATACTCAAGTAGACTCATTTGGGAAGCAGAGGTTGAACTCAAAATAGCCAGCAGTCAAAATTATGAGGCCATCTTGTTTGAACAAGAAGCTAGCAGTACCAAGCACTGCACAGAATGCTTTTACTTATTTCAACTGAATTTGCGACAGACCAGTGTTAATCAGAAAGCAATTGAAGTGATGAGATACAAACATGATAATGTTCCAGTTAAAAAAGCACCTTTTCTCCTTGAACCAATTGTTCTAAAGAACAGGCTGTTCTGGTGCCTGGGTGGCCTGTCTAGTGAGACCTCATGTCTGCCATACAGATGGTGCTGAGCACCATCTTGCTTCTCATGGAGACATTAAGAAGTGATTGATGGTCTCCATTTCAAATGTCATAGATTGATTATTCTATGAATGGATGGTTTTCATAATAAGCATTCACTAGAACTTCAGTAAATACTAGTTCAGTTAATAATGGCAGTATGTGGATACGGGGTTATAACAAGATTGTATCAGCTAGTAAGAAACATTCCAAGTTGCTAGTGAAAATCACATATCCTAAGACAATGTTGTTTCTTTTCCTTAGATCTGATGGTGCGGAAGGACTAGGTAGACCTGTAACTTCTAAGATAAATCTGGGATTTACATCATACTCAAATTGCCTCAGTAACATTGGGGAGTGCAGAAGCTTGCATCTTGTGAGGTTATTTTCTCAGATCTTTGCGTCTACCTTTCCAGAATACGCATGGAGAATATAAAAAATTGTTAGATGTTGGTATGTTAATTACCTGTGATCAGCTGTGTCATTGAGTCTTTCCAGAGGCCTGGTGTCCTCAGATGAGTGTATCCTGACAGTTCATTCATCTCAGACTGTCAGCTGACAATTTCCTACATGAAACACTTCACAACCATCTCTTTTTTTTTTTTTTCTGGCTAAGGCAGCGTGGTGTCAACAGTCCTTGCTTATTGGAGCTTGGAAGGAACTATTTTGTATTTCTAGATATACTGGTGTAAAGCCACACAGTATCTTAGTTTTCGTAGGCTTTAATGAAAAAATCTCAGGAAGGTAAAGATACAGCAACTAAACTAGAATTATTTCACTGTTAGGCATCTTCACTTTTGAAATGGCAAGGTTTAATTGCCAGCTGTCAGACTCTGTTGTGAAGGTTCCTTTCAGCTAGCACAGCTGCTGGGAATCTTGCTTCCTCCTCTAGATGTGGGACACAGCAAGATCTGCTGTTGAGGGAGGAAGAGTGGGTTGCTGAAGCAAGCGTAATATTCTTGGCAAAAGGCAGTCTCACAACCTTTGCGTTGCAGGCTGTTTGGGATACTGGAAAGACATAGCACTTAGTTCCAGTTTTTCTATCTGCTTGGGTTGAATCAGCCTAAAGCCATAAAATCCTTTATGTTGGAATCCTACTGACTGTAAATGAAAGATCTCAAACAACAACCTAACACTGCCAAGTCCACCACTAACCCACGTCCGTAAGAGTCACATCTACACCTAAATACCTCCAGGGATGGTGACTCAAGCATTGCCCTGGGCTTTCTGTGAAGGAATTTTTCCTGATATCCAATCTGAGCCTTCCCTGGCACAATTTGGGGCCATTTCATCTTGTCCTGTCACTCATAGCCTGGGAGAAGAGGCTGACCTACACCTTGCTACACCCTCCTTTCAGGTAGTTGTAGAGAGCCTCCTTTTCTCCAGGCTATACACCTGCAGTTCCCTCAGCTGCTCCTCATCAGACTTGTGTTCCAGACACTTCCCCAGCTCTGTTGCCCTTCTGTGAACTTGCTTCAGCACCTGAATGTCTTTATTGAAGTGAGGGGCCCAAAACTGGACACAGTACTTGAGGTGTGGCCTCAGCAGTGCCCAGTACAGGTGGACAATCACTGCTCAGGTCCTGCTGGCCACACTGTTTCTGATACAAGGCAGGATACCATTGGCCTGGTGAATTCTTCTCAACAAGTAAGTTGATCTTGGGAATGTGCATTGTTTTTTTTGTCTCCAAGCCATCTGGCCTACCTTAAATGGATATAATTTTATATGAAATGGGATTGCTGGAACTGTAAACTGTAAAGGATGCTTACTCTTAGGTCAGTCTTGAGGTCGTTTTCTTGCATGAAAAACTTGTTTTCCTGTTAATGCATTTATAATTTTGCTTTACTCTAGCTCCAACAGTTTCTCCATTAGTGGTGGTAGTAGAACATCAGGGTTCTGAGGAAGTTTGGTTTGTTTATCAAATATCTTCCACTTGCTAAGAGGGTAGCTTGGACCATAGTTCTGAGATTCCTGACACTGCATGTCTTACACTCTGTTGAATTCACCAGCCACTCTTGCATCAGTAGTTCCTTTCATGAATTCAAATAGTTCACGTATGTAAAGTGTGGATTTTTAAAGGTCAGGACGTTTGTCACCTTATTTTAAGCCCAGGATTGCTAGCTAACAGGTTTTCTGTGGAGAGAAGACTTGGTTCTTGTGTGCTTTACAGAATGCTTCTAAGGACGAAAGGTTGACCTTTGATGCCTGGATGTTCTTTTAACTGGTTTCTTGTTGCAGCCAAGTTGATGTAACATTAAAGGATTGTGCCTCTTTTTCCCCTCCTATTCACCTCTCCCAGCACTGCATGCTTAAGACTTTGCTTGGTTTTGTCTGCCAACATCATAATAAAACAGATGGTTCAAGGTACTAGGCTGGCAGGTGGAATAGCAGTTTCATTGCACTAGTTTTTGAGATAAAAAGACCAAGACATTTTTACCTCCCTTTACTGTGTTTGAAAATTATTGCAAGGCTAGGATGTGCTGGATATGTCCTATTGAAAAACCTAACCTTGGACCCCTGCCACATGGCTCTCTGCCTTCTACCTTTATGTGGACTGGAAGATGCAGCAAGGAGAGGGCTTTAGAGCAGCCACCTTGTCAGATCATATTTTCTTCCAACTAAGCTCTCACAGATGACATCCAAATCACTGTTGTTGAGTTGAAGTCACTCTTCATGAAACGAAGTTGTCCAACGAAGATAGTTCTTTACGTGCTGAGCCCAAGTGTGCCTCATACAGACTGGGGGGGTGGGGGTAGGCTATGGGAATGGCTAAAAATTAATCACATTGATATTGAAGCAGGACAAAAGCAGTTCTGTGCAGAAGCTTTGTAAATGAATTTTAGTTAAGACTTTTCTAAGAAAGTGTTGTATGGCAAGCGTGTGCAGGCATTATGAATCATAACCACCTAATATCAGTATTATATCTCAGCCTCTTCTAAACAGCATCTGGTTTCTTAGTTGCATGAAAAATGAAAAAGAAACTTTTAATTTCTCTTGGCTGAAGCTCCTACTATATGAATTCAGTCTTGCAGAGAAGACTAGGTTTCCTAGTGATGAGAATCAAACAGTGTTTGTGCTAGCAGTTTTGTAATTATATTAATATATTTTCTTTGTTTCTCCCCTTTAGTCAGCTGCTGCTCTTCAGACCAGCCACACTGAAGATGCAGAAATGAAAGATGAGCAGAATGGAGTTGAAGATAAATCAGAAGCTGAAGCAGAAGCATAAAAACAAACCCTATTCCATTAGTTTTGTAAATGAAAGAATTTCCAGTGAATTAGACCTTTATTTTTCTACCTGGTTGGATAGTGGCTTCAAGGGAGCAGAGGCTGAAGCCACCATGCCACAGTCAGTTACAGCTTTATGTGGCTGTTCAAGAAGCTGAATGGCAGCATAAATCCAGTTTAATCCTAGTGACTTTATTTATTCATTCAGCCTCTGTTACTGTTTGGGTTCTGTCTGGATTTACTCTGCTTGGTTGATTTGCATTTTCATAGAATCATAGAATGGCTTGCGTTGGGAGGGACCTCAAAGATCATCTAGTTCCAACTCCCCTGCCGAAGGTAGGGACACCTTCCACTAGACCAGATTGCTCAGAGCTCCATCCAGCCTGGCCTTGAACACTTCCAGGAATGGGTCATCCACAGTGTCTCTGGGCAACCTGTTCCAGTGCCTCACCACCCTCACAGTAAAGAATTTCTTCCTAATATCTAATCTAAACCTACCCTCTTTCAGTTTGAAGCCATTTTCCCTTGCATTGTCGCTACTTGCCCTTGTAAATAGCCTCTCTCCATGTTTCCTGTAGGCTCCCTTCAGGTACTGGAAGGCCACAATTTGGTCATTCTGAAGCCTTCTCTTTTCCAAGCTGAACAATCCCAATTCTCTCAGCTTTTTCTCATAAGGAGAGGTGCTCCATCCCTCTAATTGATGGCCTCCTCTGGACTCATTCCAATGGGTTGATATCCTTCCTTTGCTGAGGACCCCAGAGGTGGATGCAGTGCTCCAGGTGGGGTCTCACCAGAGCACAGCAGAGGGGCAGAATCACCTCCCTCAACCTGCTGCCCACGCTGCTTTTGATGCAGCCCAGGATACAATTGGCTTTCTGGGCTGCCAGTGCACACTGCCAGGTCATTTCCAGCTTCTCATCCACCAGCACTCCCAAGTCTTCTCAGCGGGGCTGCTCTTGGATGTGTTCATGCCCAGCCTATACTGGTATCAGGGCTTGCTTCAACCCATGTGCAGCAACTTGTACTTGGCCTTGTTAAACCTTGTGAGATTCCCATGGGCCCACTTTGCGAGCTTGTCCAGGTCCTTCTGGATGGCATCCCATCCTTCAGGTGTGTCAAGTGCATCATTCGGCTTAGTGTCATCTGCAGATTTGCTGAGGGTGTACTCAAACCCTTCAGCTATGTCATTTATGAAGATATTAAATAACACTGGTCCCAGTATGGACCCCTAAGAGACACAACTTGTCACTGATGTCCATCGGGACTCTGAGCCATTGACCACTACCCTCTGGATGTGACCATCCAACCAATTTCTTACCCATCTAACAGTCCCACCCATTGAATCCATCTCTCCAATTTAGAGAGAAGGATAATGTGATGGACTCTGTTAAAGGCTTTACAGAAGTCCAGATAAATCCCATCTGTAGCCCTTCCTTTGTCCACTGATGTAGTCACTCCATCACAGAAGGCCACTAGGTTTATCAGGCAGGACTGGTCCTTGGTGAAGCTGTGCTGGCTGTCTTGAATCACCCCCGTTTTCCATGTGCCTTAGCATAGCATCTAGGAGGATCTGTTTCATGATCTTCCCAGGCACAGAGCTGAGGCTGACAGGTCGGTAGTTCCCATTTTGTCATTGGTGTTTGTTTCTTTCTGGTTCCAGCTTACTTGAATCCCAGGTTCTGCTTTCTACATTTATTTCCTTCTCTCGAGTAATCAGCTTTTTCCAGGAGTCCTCACATGAGACTTCAGAACAAATTGGCACTCCCAGTTCCGCCCTAGGGTTGCCCTCTTTCCCCATGTTCAGTAGGGAGTCCCTTCTATTAAATATTGTAACCTTTCTTGTATGCCTCCTCTTTGCAAATTGCTGAAGGTGAAGACTGAAGTCACAGCTTAAGTAATAAAGCTCCAATTAAACTCAAGAAAACTGAACTTTTCGTGGGTTTTTATTGGAATTTGCACAGAACTGAGAGAATTTACTGTCCTTTGGTCATTCAGTGTTTTTTTTAATCCACATAACCAGTGTCTTGATTATTTTTCTGTGTTGTTTGTTCATTACCATAGAAAATTCCCCCAATATTTGGTAAAATATTTACACATGTATTTGCAAGAGGAAAAAATATGTTGGTGAAAACTTCAAAAAGCAAGTCTGTAACCTATGTATAGAGCTTATTATCTGTTCATTTTGCTACCTTCCTCTTTGCCCCCCCGTGTTGTGGAACTGGACCAGAGGAAAAAACCCACAATATTTATACCTAAAAGTGAGTGGCTTTGAAGAGAAAGTAAGTGATAATGGTTTACATATTACAAATACTTCTAAATCCTAACGAACTACAAACTCCTGAGTGATTCTAATGTCTGCTTATCCCCATCTCACAAGAAAGCTATTACTTGGTATTCTGCTTCTTTCTGCAGTTTGTGTGTCTTGTTTGGGGCTGGGTGTGCTTTTGGGTTTTGTGGGGGCTTTTTGCTGGGGTGGGTTTTTTGTTTGTCTGCAGGCATGGAACACAGTACTCAAACTCAGCTGTTCTGTTTATCCTGTCGTGTAGTGTTAAACTCAGCATCTCCAGTGTCCTGTTTTGAGACCATTCTAGCTGCAGGGGCACTCTTTGCCTGCTCTGCAGAAGGAAGGTAGATAATCTGTTCTTTTCAGATGAAAAAAAGTGTTTGTTGTTTTGGGTTTTTTTATGGTGAGAAAGATTTGCATGGCATGCAATGGGCTGGAATTGTGTATATATTGCAGAGAGTATCTCTGTTTTAACATGAATTACGTTAGAAATCTTAATTTGAATTCCCAGTCTCCCTTCCTGAGACAGAAATACTGTATAAGTGCTTACTTATGGGGTTCTTTGGGGCTGGGGGGTTGCCAGTACCTGCTCCGCAGCAGTGCCAGGAAAGCTGGGGCACTGCAGCTGTAGGACTGGACTGTCACCAAAATGGTAAGAGCTGCTTGACACATTGCACTGGGCCAGAGATAATAAATTCACCACCTGCTGCTGGGCTGTCTGGCTTAGGGAGCTGTGAGCTGCACTGCTCTGCACAGTGTACACAGTGTAGCAGTGCCCTACGCTTCAGTGGTGTGGGGGGGGGATAGGAGAAGAGAGGCAGGATAGAGTGTTTGGTAGATCATCATGTTTAAGGAAATGCTGATTTGATTTGCCTAATAAAATCTTAGAGCTGCCAGGTAATACAGGTGTTTTTCGTGAGTTCTAACTTGATAGCAAGAGCCGTGTATATGTGGAAAAACTTGTACCAAAGCATTATTGCCTCTTGTGGGAAACAACACAGTGTGTGTCGACTGGAG